TGAGATAGAGAGTATAAGATGGATATAAGAGAGAGAATAGATAGAAGAGAATAGATAGAGATATATATATATATAATCATTTGAATAAAGAGTTTGAAAAGAAACAAATAAATTAAATAGAAAATTTGAGAAAGTAAAATAAATGTCATATAGAAAAACATCGCAAACACAGATATACCCGGTTCGGACTTAAGAGGAAGACCTGTATCCATAGGAAGTTAATAACTTTTCTTTAATTTAAATTTAAATTACAAATACAAGAGAAAAAAAAATAAAATAAATGTCATATAGAAAAACATCGCAAACACAGATATACCCGGTTCGGACTTAAGAGGAAGACCTGTATCCATAGGAAGTTAATAACTTTTCTTTAATTTAAATTTAAATTACAAATACAAGAGAAAAAAAAATGTTAACGGTTGATGTTATAAAAATAAACATCCATAATTAATCTGCCCGGTCGGGCTACTAGTTGGCCGGGCCTATAGTGGACCGGGTTTGTTTGGTCTTGGGTTTGGCTCAAAACTTAGCCTGACCCATGACCTAACTCTAATGTGGGCCAAGCCGGGTTTCGACCCAAACTGGGATGGGCTGGTTCGGCCCGTTGTTCCCGTTGTTCGAAGCCCATGCCCAACCTTGATTTTGTGGCAAGTTCGATGAATGGTGCCAGAGATCCTAAAGTTAATCTCAGCCTACAAGAACTCCTTTGTTCCAAATTTGTAGGTTGTGATGGACTTCATGGATCTTTTTCTTTCATTTCCTCAGTTGAGGCTTGAGGGTCATTTTCTTGGTTAAACCAAACATTTTCAGACTCATTCAGAGATGAAGAAAAATTTGTTAGTGATTTCTCATACTCAAGAAATAGAGCTCAAGTTGCATTTTGAAGCAACATAAAATGTTATTGGAGTTGCGGGCTTGGAATATTAGAAGGGGGGAAAAAAGATGAGATGGCGTTGTTATAGGATGAACTATATAGACCCTTGACCATTTCTTGTGTGGGACTCGATTGATCTAGGAAATGAGCGTACAAATTTTCCTTTCTGAATGTGATTGAACAATATATAAATTTCAGGAAGGAGGGCATTGAGGAAAATTGAAGATCAAAGGAAGTGGACCTGAACCGGGTGTTTGTTTTTTTAGTTAGCTGGTTTGTTGAGAGAACATCTTACCTCCTGAAGCAACATACGTGATCAAAATGCACATGTGGCTTTTTCTTGTCTGCCGATCTGCAGATACATGGAATTTTGCATCTTATAATCAGTACATAGTGTTCCAATGATCCCATCATTGTATTTATATAAATGAATGACAGATTGCAAATAGGCAATACAAATAATTTTCCTTTGTGATATCTTCTTTGAATTTATCTTTTCTCTTGATTTAATTCTTCAGGAGAACCCAGATTTGTGGAAGTGGCTGACAGGACAGGAGCAACCACCAGAGGCAGTGAACACTAACCCTGTATAACTTCTTTGCCTGAGTACCGTTTCTTCTTCGTTCTTTTTTTCTGTTTTTGATCATTCTCACCAGAGGCTTCTGCTATTGGATTGATTGTTTGTTTCTTTCAGGTGTTTGCAGCTGTTAGATCTAGAGTGACGGAAAATCTGAACCATTCTGCTCCAGAAACTCGAGCAAATCCAGGCCAACCATGGGTAAGAGGATGGGATGATAAGAGAGGACTTGGAGGTGGGACTACGTATGGCAACCAGTAAGAAGCTATAATTATGAAAAGTTTCCCATCATAAATACTATTTTTAAGTTGTGAAACATGAATAAGGTAACCCTTTGTTGTTATGACATGCGTTTCTTCAAGAATGAGAGTTGATGGTTATTGTTTGTTGAGTTCCTCCACTATGGTGTTTTTTGGTTCATGTATTGCATATTGATGCAATTGATTCATGTAAGGGACTATGCAAAATGCATACTTCAAATCTTATTGTTTGCAATGAATACTAAAAAGGATTTGCGTGAGTTATAAAATCCAATCAAACTCTGTGCACATGAGTTTTGTTGAGGATATTTGTCTAAAATCAAAAACTGGTTGAAATCCGTAGTTTTAGGGAATTACATTTGATGCATGTATCCAACATGGCAGTAACTCTAAATCCGTAGTAGTATGGAAAATGTCAAACAAACATTGTATTTGAAAAAGAACAGTTAGTTTTAACTTGTGTTTCCCATTTTTTTAGTGAAATGTTGCTAAATGCGTGGAAACAAATAGCCGCTGTATGAATTTCTATGGATCTTTGATATAATTTCATTAGATTCCTTATTACCACTGATGCCTGAGATCGAGTTAATCAATTAAACTCCAGTCGTTTCAATTTGATTTTGAAATTAAACTATTTGTTCAATTGGTTATTTTAAGACCTCAATATGGTGGTCATTTTTTTTATTTTTTATTTTTTGAATTGTAATGATAAATCATGAGTTTTCACAGACCTAACCAAAATAGCTGGTATGAAAGAATACAATCACCTCGACAGTTATCACTCCTGTACGATAGAATAAAAAGTGCTTTTTTTTAATTGCAAAGGATAAATCTTGACTTTTCATAGATCTTACCAGAACAGTTGGTAGACTGGTTAGGCAATTAGCATTTTCCCAGTTCAAATACATAAAGTTCATCAGTTTCAAAAAAAAATACATAAAGTTCACAGAATCATTGGGTTTAGTTGTGTGGAATTTACAACATGGGATGTTAGCTTTAGGGGTGGGTGTGGGCTGGTTCGGCGCATGGGCTAAATCGACCCATTCCGCATTGTATCAAAACCTAGCTCGAGCCAAAAAGGTTAGGTCCAAAGTAGTCCGACCCATACCTAGGCCATGGGCCAAGTTAGGTTATGTTCCAAACTCACTTAGGGAGAGAGAGAAGTAAGCTTGGCCCATACCTAATTGGACCCACTAATGACCCAGCCCAACAAGATTCGACGTAATTGTGTATTTTTTAAAACTTCTACCAGTAGCTGATCAACCCAATTTAACTTTTCCATCAAATTTGCAATTGGTCTTGCCAGCGTCACTTAGCTCTTCCTTAAAAAATTAAACCCAACCCAAAGACAATGGCTCGTTA